TGCAATTGTGCAGGAAAACCAAACTGACTGAATCTACTATGGAATACCTCATGGTGAGAGCCTTGAAGAATCCCAAGTTAAAACACGATTTGATTCTCCTGATTTGTTCTCTCTACGAGATCTCGAGCAATCGTCCCAGTTCTGTTTCTGAGAAAATAGTTCGGAGAATATCTGGTTTCGATTGGTTCTGCAACGAGATATCGAGTGTGAAATCTCATGGGGTCAGAGTGACGAAATTCGTTATTCCACTGGTGGAGTCTGCAATAAAAATAGTCCTGAAAGATCCCCTGGAGAATGCAGAAATTAGAAGCCTTGTGAACGATATATTCCAGAAAATAAAATTCGATGGTTCTGAAGTCGATCTTATCCTCCGGAATACCTTGAAACCAAATTTGATATCTGATGAATTGACAAAAGATGGTAAAATCTTTCTGTCTACCCTGTACAACTACCTGGAGGTGCGTTATCCCTTGCAGTTCGACGAATACCTGAAGAAGCTGATGAAGACGAGTGAGGTGAATCCAGAGTCGAAGGCGGCTCTCCGATTCCTGATGAAGTGGCACGAGGGCGTAGAGTGCACCAGGAAATCCATCGAGCTCTTCGACAAGTTGAATCACTACAGCGCCGAGCAGAGAATTCTGGCGTTGAATTTTCTAGCAGAGTCCCCCAGCGATCTCGCTGATGGCTTCCAGGATATGGTGATCAAATCGATCCTGGAGAAATTCAATGACGACGACGTGAGAGTGGTGAGAGCTCTATTGAAATTCCCAGTGAAAACTCTGACAAGTCTCTTCCCAGCAGACATCTTAACAGACAGATTGATGGTTCTCCTCTCCCAATGTCACACCGAGAAAAAGAATGTCCTGGCGAAACCGGCGGTGAAGCTCCTCCTGGAGCTCTGCGACGACGGGGACGACACCTGTCTCTTCATCGCCACTCTGCCCTACCTCTTCCCCAGCTCGGATACGGAAACAAAAATTGCCATTTTAGTTCTCGAGTCTGAATTCGCTGCCAAGAACAAGTACCTTAGTGCTGTCAAGGAAAACATTCAAGGAAAGGCCGATGCAGCGTTGATCTGCTCAGCAGCATTCCACAATATTTTGAAGAGGGAGATTTTACCCCCAACAGAAAATATTCTGACGACCATGAAGACTTCCTACGATAACGATGCCACCTCCCTGTTCTTTAACCTAATCCTCCTGGGATCAGTCTGCCGAGTCCCCGTGGGTTCTCTGCCCTCGAACATCGCCCTGGAGGTGATCGAGATGGCTGCAGAGATGATGAAGAAGTATCCCAAAGTGGGGAGCCTCCCCGACTGCAATCAGTTGAATGGAGACAGGATTCAGGATGGCCTGAAATTGACGTCTCAGGGGATTCTTCCCCTCCAGGCTGTCACCTACGTCCTGGAGATGGTTCATCGGCGGCTAGAGCTCAAGGCGAATAGACTGCTCGATTTTGAGGGGAGTCCCCAGACTACAAGACTCATCCTCCGCCTCGTGGAGATCCTCTTCGAAGGTATGACCTCTCCAAAACGACAGCCTCACTACTCCTGGTGTTTGAAAATTTTCTTCCAACGTCATTTCCCCACCGGCGAGGATATGCTTCGTTTCCTGTCAGAGTTCTTCATAAAACCTGTCAACGCGCAGACTTCACTGCATGCCCTGAACGTCACATCGAAGGTCCTGTCCAAGAGTGAGTCTTTCCAGTGGATATTCGGGGACAGGGTTTTCCTCCCGAACTTCCTGATCGCATTATCGAGACAGAACAGACAGTGCCGTGAGGCAGCTGTTGATATTCTCAAGAGACTCTCTCAAACCTTCAACCTGGAGATGGAGGGGTGCTCTAAATTGCTGTCGAAACTCTCCAAACGCTCGTCAGAACTTGCAATGGATCCTGACCAGCTGTCATTAATTCTCTACACACTCCTCTCCCCAGATCCAGACGTGAGAGCTCAATTGAAAAAAGAGGCCCGAGGACAACTCGAGAAAACCCAGGAATTCCTCTTCGATATCATCTCTGACGAGAACACTCCCATTCACGTGACGTCACAACTTCTGGAGGTGCTAGTCCACGTCAATGGCCCTGAACTTCTGAAAACCCTGAGTGTCAAGGGGCTGGAGTTCCTCGAGAAGCTCCAGAGTAATCCAAAGCACATGGACAGCATGTCCATGGCTCTGAAGAATATTCTCCAGAGATTCAATAGCACAACCGTGTCAGCCCTCGTTGATGACACTGTTTGGAAATTCTTTAAAACAGCCATCACCAACCACCGGCTATTTCTCGCAACTGAAAATGGCGAGCACCCGGCAAGTGTCATCCTCATCAAACAGATTGACCTCGTATTCTTCGAGAATGCTGGTAAGATATCGGAGAGTCTTCAGAGAAAAATCTTCGCCCTCTTCGTGGATATCGTCACAGATTGCGAGATAGGAAGTATTGTAGCAGTTGCCAATAGAACGGTCAGGAAAATTGTGATCGATGCTCAGTTGATTGTGGAGGAGCTGAAGTGCATGAGTGAGGCGAAATGTTCGGATGAAGTCGAGGGGATGAAAAAAAGTCGAGCCTCCAGGACAAAGAGACACTCTAAGTCCCTGGATATCTCTCAACGTCCAGAGATAATAAACACGCGAGACTGGAAACGAGGCATAACAATATTAGAGTTCATTCAGAAAGCTGACAATATCAAGAACGAAAAATTACTGATGCCTGTATTGTTTAATCTCCTGAGGATGTGCCTGAATTTCGAGGAGCAGAGTCCCTTGGAGTACACGAATCAACTCCTGCTCTCGAACATTCACAAACTGACAATGATGAATATCCCAGTGCCGGAGCCCCACCTGCAGGTGGACCTCATCTCCCAGTGTATCAGAACATCGCACAATCCGCAGACTCATCATCATGCTCTTCTAGTTCTCGTCGAGCTCTTCAAAGTCGCGAATATCGACATTGCCCTCCACAACATCATGCCCATCTTCACCTTCATGGGGAGTTCAGTTCTCCGGCAGGACGACGCCTACTCCATTCAAATAATCACTAAAACAATCGAGACAATCGTGCCGATAATAAATGCTGCAGACGATGAGACACACGCCTGTGATATCCTGAGAATTTTCATTGTCTCTCTCACTGATATACCAGAGCACAGGAGAATTCCTCTTTTCGTCAAGCTCCTGCAGCTTCTGCAGAACCATCTCCACCTGTTTTATCTCCTGACCTTCGAGTGTCTGGTACTAGGGCAGAGTCATGTCTCTCAAGACAAGAAAAATTCCTCGCAAAGATTTGAGTTCGCCCTGACGATTTCCCAGGAATTTTCGCCCAAGGTTTTAATTGGAGTATGCATCGAGCTAGTTAAATTCATCAGAAGTCTGCCTGTTGAGCTCGAGGAGGATGCAAGCAAACGAAATTTTTCGTTTCCAAAGAAGAACATATTCGATGTCGCTCACAACACGCCGAAGCAATTGAGGCACTACAAATACACGGCTATCCAATTTTTGAACGCCTTGTTATCGTCCCCAAATTTTGTGGACAGAAGTGCTTACCTGGATACCTCCGAGAGAGAAGCTACGAAACCGTTGTATGACAGCCTCATCATCGAGCTCGTTCTGCTGATCGAGAGCGCCTCCAAGAGCGCCGATCTTCACCAAGGAAAACTCAAGGGTAAATATTGGAAGGTCCTTCTCCACAATCTCTGCGACAGCCTAGACGCCGTCAACGCACTCCTCCCGAATGCAGTGTTCATCGCGAGTGTGAAAAAACTGATGAACCATCATCACGTTACGGTGAAAAGAAAATCCCTCGAGTTGCTGAACACTCGTCTGCAGCAGCGTAAATTCAACGAAGAGGATTACCAAGATCTGCTGTCACTCATCGACTCCCTCCTGGAGACAGTATCCAGCCAGAGTAAAGTACTCAACCAGGAAACAGAAGTCATTCAACAAACAGCCTTGATAACTCTCAAATTCCTGGCTAAATTCCTGGCGGCAGACAATCCTCTTAAATTTAAACCAGTCCTCGAGATAACGATCGATTTCCTGAGGACGAAAGAAGGCCCTCTTCTGGGCTCAATCGTCCTCTGCCTGGCGGAGCTCTGTGGCACCCTCAGAACCCACGTAATTCCCTACCTCAGCAGGTTCTTCCCAGCGATCCTGAAGCTACTGAAGACTCGCTGTTGCCAAGAATCGCCAGACGTCGTAACCATCAGTATCGTCAGTGCTCTCCAAAAAATCGTCGAGTCCGTTGGAAATTTCTTGTCACTCTACCTGGAGCAATTGCTCCTCGAATTATGCAAGCTGAGTACCCTCTACGCCGACAGTGATCACCCGAAAATAGGGATCATCGTGTCGAGGCTAAAGATCATTCGCCAGAAGCTGGTGAGCTGCATTCGCATGAGGGTGCTACTGCCTGCAGTCGAGAAAACGTACACAAGCCTCTTGAAAACCCAATGCTACCAGTGCATTCCAGTGTTAATGGGAATCCTGGGTGAATCCTTCGGGAGTTTAACATCCCAAGACCTCCAGGGAGCAATACCTGAGGTAACAACGTTTTTCCTGCGTGTTCTTCAGTTCAGAGAGGATGTGGAGGATGTGATAGTCCCTGGTGACGATCACCGGAGTATTCAGGAATTTTTAGGAATCGCTGACGTCGAGGAGAGCGCTGGAAAGAGTCTCGTCGCTCTGGTGTTAAAACTCAGTGAAGCGACCTTCAGGCCTCTCTACTACAAGCTCTACGACTGGGCTGCGAGAAACCCAGAGAAAAAACTCAGGAACATAACGTTCTATAGATTATCGGCGAACATCGCCGAGTGCCTCAAGTCCCTGTTTATTCTTTTTGCTGGACACTTTCTCAAGCATGCGGCTGTTTTACTCCAGCAGAACAACTTGTCCATTGCGAATGAACCCGTCGACAACACTCTGGACGACGAGCCCCAGAGGATTGAGCTCATTGAGAGTATTCTCACTACGTTAGATCGAGTCTTCAGTTACGATGCTCACAGCTTTGTCAATCAAGAGAAATTCGACATTCTCTCGCAGCCAATCGTCGACTGCATTGAGTACACGGAAGGATCGAAGGAGCTGTTCGAGGAACGATCCAGACAGCTGGTTGTGCCCTGCATCGCATCCTTTGCCAGTGCCATTCAGGACGACTCCCTGCACAAACAACTGGTTTATCAAGTTCTACTCAAAACGAGACACACGAAGTCCCAGGTAAGGAGCACCGCATTGAGTGCACTTATTGAAATTGCTAGAAAACTCGGTGAGGACTTCATGCCCCTCCTACCAGAGACTGTGCCCTTCCTGGCGGAACTCCTGGAGGATGAGGACGAGGCCACCGAGAGGACTGCACAGAACGCCGTCAGAACCCTTGAGGAAATCCTCGGGGAACCACTGCAGAAATATTTTTAGTCGTCGTTTTAGATTTTATTATTGAATGCTGCGAAAACTGGTGTACATACGAATGGAATAAAAAGAGGAACTCTGGTTTTACATATAAAAATGAGTTTTTTAATAGTGATCGTATAATACATGTTATATTCTTTTGTAATGTACATAGAAAATATTTATACATGGCAATTGAAGAATATTCGTCAAAGGTTGGCTCGTGTTTTTTCTCGCTATTAACAACGTGGAAATAGGGATTGTTTCGATTTTTATCGTAATAAATACGAGAAAAAATGTGGAATATCAGTTTGTCTCAACGATTTTTTAAAATAGCCTTTCCACGAGGAGCACTCGTGAGTCCAGTATTACCCCTGAAAATAGCAGTACTTTTATCGCATACTTTCAAAGTAATTTCTCTACTTTGTGCCGATTTTCTTCAATCCGAGTCATTTTAGTTGTTCACTTATCACTGCAAAGAACTTTGCAATAGGCCATAAAATTTCCTTCTTATTCGTTTGGCTTAGAACTAGGGCGTGTGTACAGGTTTGTATCATGGTCAAACCTGTGGGACATCAGCCAACTCTCTCATCTCCTCTCTTTCCGCAGTCAACGGTATTTTTCTGCAAGAGAATGAAAATACTTTGTCACAGAAAAACTCAGCAAAACATCCACTGAAAACCATGAAATTTGGAATAACGAGTTTCTCTCCAATTTCATTCAATCAATCAACGCTTAATTTTTTAATAAACGAACAATTACTGAAAATGGTAAATTCGAGTTGTTTGAACGTCATACCTTTTTCTGTACTGGAATATGAGATAAACGATGACAGCATTTCCCACGAAGAGTAACGCCATGAGAATAGTGGGTAATAATACATCTGCAACAGAAACAAAGCTCTCAATTAGCAGTTGAAATGCAACGATAACTCAAGAATGAATGAATTCCCGATAAATCGAAGTGACTCATCGAGTGGTCAGGCACACCATGTGGCACGATGAACTCTGAGCTTCAGCGACTCGACTTTACGCGATTTTTTCATTCAACGTGAGTAATGGAAATTGCTGGTCTTCATTAGACCCACATAAACCGCAATTTTCCATCTCTCGGGCTAATTAGGAGATGTATAATCGAGAAAATTGAATATTCACTAACCTATTACGTAGTCGGACTGTTTGATCATTGCTGGTGCAGCTGGGTCCATGTTGAAATTTGAGTCTGCGCTTTCTCCACGTCCAATTCTTACCCCTTGCCCCAGTGTGTTATCCCCTGAAAGACTGGACAGTCGTGTATTTTCCGATTCCGCCTTCAGAATAGTCGCAGAAGTAGCTGAAAATAATAAATCATCATTATTCCACTTCTCTACCCCCCAGCATTTGAAATTGCAAAAAAAAATTCTCAGCGCAGGTTGAAGTAAAAAATTTGAGGCAACCAGAGGAAAATTGCATAAACGATTGCATCAGAATAAACGTCAGTTAATCAACAGTGAATATTTGTCCCGGTTTGAGTTTATGAAATTTTTAGAAAGTTTTGGAATCCCATGAATTTTTTTTGTGGTAAATCGAATTAAAAGTTTTTTTTCTCGTTGGAAAATCTTGAGAATCATCTTCAGGAAAACAATCTGCTGTTGTTTTCAATGGCAGGGCGTAGTTATCACGCGTACATCACGTTCCATCATATTTATTCATAGATGTTTATCTCCCAGAAAATGGTCATTGCAAAATGAATGACTCTGGTTTTCTCGTAATTTGGAATTAGAGCCCAACAAAAATTTTCCCGATAAATCGGAAATTTTTTCCTTATCTAGTCCCACCGAAGTCCTCAAATTCCATTATTCATTATCTCCCAGAAATTAAATAATCTCCAAGACCGTTAAAACCCCATCTAATGCATGAATTATCGCTTAATTATCAGTACAAATTTCATTGTCATTTCATTGCCATTCATTACAATCCAACTGATAAATTCCGAACAATACGACACAACACAAAAGTGGTTGCTATCAGTGTTTTCCGACGTAGATCACGTATTTTCCGTGGAATTGAGGTGCGATGTGTGTAGGTGCAGGACAAAGCTGAGAAGTTTCAAATGAACATGACGAGATAATAAAAACTCACTAATAAAATTCCTGAAGGTGTCGGTGAATATTCGTATCATGGTGAAATCCGCCGAGGGTTTAGAATGGAAGGACTCGAAAATAGTTCACACGAAAAAAGTTTATTTATTTAGTAAAATGATGAAGAGCCGCTGTCAGCTGTGGGCCTCCACCAGCAGCATCACTTCTTACTCGCGCGCGTGTTATCAACGAAACTGTACCCAATTCTGTTTGTCTTTTCCCTTTCCCCGAGTGCCTCCCACCGAGTGTTATTCCCCAGCTACAGTTGAGTGGAGGACTGTTCAAAGTCTCACTTCTTGCTGCCTCATACTCCACTTATTGTTCTTTTATATCTTCTTTTATTCCGTTTTTATTCCTCTTTTATTCCTCTTTTATTCCTCTTTTACTTCTCTTTTACTTCTCTTTTACTTCTCTTTTACTCCTCTCTTACTCCTCTTTTATTCCTCTCTCATTCCTCTCTTATTCTCATCTTATTCCTCTGGTATTTCTCTTTTATTGCCATCTAAATTTACACCAAGTACCAGATGAGCCATCGGATTTCAGTGGTAGTGGATTCGAGTGCCTCTTATCCACAAAAAGCTCATTAAAATTCGAGATGTTAAATGAGTACTGTGTATACACTGGAGAATGAATATTTCAATGCATAGAGAATATGGGTTGTAGCACCAGCGGATATCAGATCTCCCAGCACTTGAACTCAAGCACAATACTCTGGGTTACGAGGTCAAAGGTTGGCAATTTAAAAAATTCAACATAACCACAGCGAGTGGCATTGCTCTACTGAATTTCTGTAGCAGTGAATCTCGCTGTTTTATTGAAATCTGGTGTTGGGTGGCGTGATCCGCTCTCAGCATCGCGTTATCAGCATCCTACCCAATTATGATAAACCTTTGACCTCCCGTGTATCACTTCGTCATTAATCTTGCTCAATCTTGTTCAATGTTAACAATCAGCAATTGTGAAAATTTTTTCATTCATGAACTCGTCTCTCTTACGCAACGAAAAAAAATAATATGTATTTCAACGATTTATCGAATTATCGCGTGTCATATCATTGGGTTTATCCACGGGTCGTTGGAGTATTGCTACCGAGAGTTTATTGAATATCTCCCACTTTTTTTTTCTCGATCTTGTGATAAAATTGGTGATAGCGATTGGATCAAATTTTTTATGATGGAAATGGTAAGACGTGGGATCGATAGATCGGCGCAAGCGAATAACACATGGGATATTTATTTAATCGACTCACCTGTCTCAAACAGCTTTTGACAAATTTTCACAGGTTTGTCCACACGTGCCAGGCGAATTGTCGCGACTATACTGGCTTGACTGGCTTGACTCCACAAGAAAGTTTCACGTGGAAACAAGGCAACAGAGAACGCATCCAACGCATATATCTATGTACTCCCCTATGTCCCCTACTCACGCGCACAACTTTGCCCATTTTCTCCCACCCCATACCCGATACTCGCGTTTGTGAGGGTCTCTCCCCTCGAGGATGTTCCACACTCGTCCACCCGAAATTCACCGTTTTTTTTTATTTATTTTTCCGGCATTTATCATGTCGATGGGATTGACGTGAAAAGATGAACCGATTTTTCATTTATCGTTATCCAATGGTTTTTTAAATAAATTTTTGCCAAAATCAGGCATTAAATAACAATAAAATTCCCTTTACTGATTTATTTATTCGCTTTTGTAGATATTATATATTGATATATTAATAATATAATTATATAATCGTGTATATAATAATTATATTATTAAACATTAATATAGTTCAGGGATAATCAAATTTTTCGATAGAAAATATTTTTGCGTTCTGATATTGAATTTGATTGATAAGATTTTGAGATGAATTTTTTTTTATGGGTTTTCTTACCAACGCAATTGGGTAGATGCTCGATGGTCTCATTCCAAGCCCCTTGCTGGCATTTGACAGTCTTTGTTGGCATTCTCGTGTCTGGGAAAATATTTCCTGTGCGACACTGAAACGTACGCGTTTCCGAGGTATCATTCGCTACGAAACTCCCATCAGGCGCATGTGTCTCAGGACATCCAACAGCTGCAACAGAGAAATAGGATGAAATTCTGAAAATCATCATCATCATCATCACCAGGTCCATTACCTTCGTATTTCAAGAGAAAACCCCGAGCGGGATACACTCTCGACGATGATATCAACTTCAGCGTCAATTGATTGGAATTCGATACAATTCGAGTGCCAATGCGAGTGCCACATGACTCGAATATCGTCTGGCCACTGTCTTGAATTCGGATGAGATCCTCACAATTGCCATCAGCCTCGGGGCCTTGAACCCAAAATCAGGATCATAAAATGGATGGAATTAAATGGATGGAATTAATTGGAAAGTTGTAATAGGACGGGATGAACTCACTGCGAATATTAAAATCGTGAAACTGAAGGACCACCCTCTGACCTGGAGCCGTCTTGAAGGCCCAACCGCAGGCATACTCTCCAGGGTAATAAAGAGGATATCCTGGGGACTTTATGTATCCTGCCTCTCCGCGGTTTATCCTCACCTCGGTATTACAATAACGTTTCACCGCACCTTCTGCTCAGAACATTAACGCAAATGAAATTATTTCACCGGAGTAAAAATCCATAGATTGAGAGAGGAAAAATTGTTGACAATTTATTACTGGAAAAATATCTATTCCTCTCCCCCAGATGTTCCGGATAATAAAATTAGAGTTAATCTGACAGAAGGCGTAAATCAATTACCAGGAATGCAGGCATATTTGAGCCTGAGATCAGCAGTTGGCCAATGAGCCCCCCCAGGATGATCCTCAGCAACGGTGAATCGGCAATGGTGCTGTCCGGAACATCTACCCAAAAATTTTCGATATAATCAATTCGCCATGTGACAAAGAAATACATAATATAAATAACCCATGTATATTCCCATAAAACGTTGCGCCGTTTGCCGTGCGGATTTTTATAAAAAAATAAAAGGCCCGACAAAAATGTAATTACAGTGCTCACCCTCAGGTTATACAGGAAGGGTGAACCTTGCGATTCACCCCTTGGCCGCGATCGCAGAAGTGGATAAAATGAAAGGGAAGAGGGGGTGGTCGAGGGTGGAGGGTGGTAAAAATCCAGAGGGGTGCATACGGATTTAGAAATGGGGAATATGAACGGAAACAGATGCCAGGGTTGTCTGTTAACACTGCAATTACTTGAGAAATATCTAGCGATATGTGACAGAATTATCATTCTGCTGTGGATCATACGTCGAGGGGTGCAACGCAGTTTCCTTCGGACTCCATTGTTCATCGGAATTTTTGGGGGAGCGCAAATGCTTTACAGACCCGAGGATTCATATCTTCATTAACTGTCTCATTGTTCACGATCCAAGTGTACCATCTCCTTCCTAGAATCTCCAGGGGCGTCTATTCGATTTTCGATGGACTTCATTGTGAAATCGCCCTTTAGGTAAATACCCTCGATCTCCCCTTCTCAAATACACATCTGTGATTCCCATTTATCGTTGTATTAGATATTCGATGCAGTTGCATGTAAAAAATCCATCGGGGGGTGTGAATGGGATCACAGGAATAAATATTTTTCCCCAAAAAAAATCCCTCGGTTCTAGGAAATTTCGTACTGGATGTTTCATTTTAAATCATTTCATATAATTTAACGTTTTTAGTTCGATCTTTTAATTTTTAATATTGATTTTTTTGTGGATGAAATTATTTTTATATTCGTCTGCATTAGAGTAGAATTCAAACTGGCCTTCACTCAGATATTTAATCCATCACTCAATTTCCATACTTTCGTGGTTACCACTCGGTAGTTCACCTCTCGGGTTTCTTCACTTGGATTTCAAGTGAAGGACACCAATAATTGAGGTAAGCTTACGATCGAACTGTCCGAGGAAAATTGGTACAGATCGAAATATTCGAGATCGACGGAATGGAATGGAAATTTTGAAAAATTCAAAAAGATTATAAAATACCTACAATTGAACAGTCGACAAAATAAAAAAGAAATCTGCAAATGTGTACTTACTTTCTATTAAAAGATTTCCGGAGATCCACCACAGGTCCACTCTCGTCGTCCTCATCCTTGAGGTAATTACCCCTGAGTTCAATAGTTATAGTTTTACGTATTCCTGAATTATAGTTGTACCACTGGGCAGCGCGTTTTTCTGCTCTTACTGATGATCCACAAGTTTTAGTGCTCTTCCGGTGAAATTCCGCTTGAAGAACGAAGATGAAGGCCCGCAGAGATCGACAGGTAAGACGAAGAAGTGCCCCAGAGCAGACATCCTCTTCCACAATTTCCATATAACCACCAGTGAGTTTTACTGCTGAAATTCTCTGTGTCCCAGTAGTCATATTTATACTTATCAAAATGCCGAGCACTAGCGATATCCCTATCAGCCATCTGGACGATTGCATTTTCAACGATTTTGAACATTACATAAACATCAAATAACAACCACTTGTTTTATCAACGAGGATTACTGTTTCTGATCTCGCAATGAGGCACTAGAAACCTCTCGAGCTCAAGATTTTTCAGGTCTCAGGCTTGAGAGCTTCACTGGAAATAAACCCACATCGACAGGACCACAAAATTCCAGAGTATTTCAACAAGAATATTAAATTTAGAACTGATCGATAAAAAAACCCGTGGTTCCCCCGAATTCACCATAATCCCCCCCCGATTCTTCACCAGCAAAAAAATCAACACCTCTTCGAGGCAGCGATGGTTGAGTGCATGTCCTCATTGTTTCGAATACCAAATTTTTTTTTTTTGTCCTGTGCCAATTACAAAATCCAGCATTCTTCTGATATTCTGATATTTTCACAGAGAAGTCTGATGTAATGACGTGAAGAATCACTTACAGTTGGGTACACATTGAGATGTACGAGATACTTTCAAGGCTCCGCAACTATTTCTAGAGCTTGCCGGAAACTTTTGGAAAGTTCAAGACTATTACAAACACCACGGGAATAATATTTGGATTAACAACTAACATTCCAACACGATTATATTGCAGTCAGGCTTCGTACTTTTGCGGCTGCTCAGTGTTATTCCATTTGTATCCGTTTTTATGTCATCCGTTTTCAATGTCTGATGTAGAAATGCAGAAAGGAAGATCTGCTCCACTCACTTTTGATTTTACCACTGAATTCCCACTGGCATTTTCAGTTGATCATTCCCATGGGTTTTCTTTAGAGAGTCACAATACAGATAAATAAATAAATGAATAAAAAAATGATTAAAAACTGAATAAAAAATGAATAAAAAATTAGAGCAAATTGGAATTCAATGCGTACGGTTTGCTGGTCGGACGCCAAGTGTCAGGCGTTCATCGTATGGGCTGGTTGGCACCCGGTGGAAACCCCTGCAGAAAACTCCACTAAATCTAAACTCGTGAGAGACCCCGGTGGTTAGCCACGTGCAGAACAAATCCAAGGGTGTACAGACGGTGTGCGCAATCGGTACCAACCCCCATTGTACCCGGGGGTGGTCTCCACCAGACAAAGGCTATCATAAAATTTAAAACGTAAAACAACACCACTGTACTGCGCACGTTCTCGATTTCTTCATTTCATTATTGAGAAGTCAGTGTCATTGGCAGATCAATCTGCATTTCAATTCAATTTGATATTCCATTCATTCGTGAGATCAATTTCTAATACAAATCCTTACCCCGTACCTACCCTGATTAGATAACGTTATAATTAGAAATATAATTATAATTCGTTCATCAATCCATTCATTTTCTCATGGAATTAATTCCACGAAATTTAAATCCGGCGTCCTCAAAAAAAATCCCTCGAAAAATAGATAACGATTTTTTAAAATAATAATTCTAATTAAAACCATCGGCTAATCATCATTAAAAAAATAATATTCTGTGACAAAATAATTTCCTATAGCTCTGGAATAAATAATTCTACTTCAAAAAAACCGCCGCATCCAAAACAATTATTTCGCCTTTTACATCGAGAATCCCCAAGGGATCGATAGATCTCCAGATCTCCACAGAAAATCATATTTCTCCATTTTTAATCTTCCGTTTATTGTAAAAAAAAAAAATCTCTTTCTTCATCTCACGATGTAGCGCGTGTCTGTGCACATGGTTCACATTGTTATAAAAATTCCGGTTGCCCCATTGTCAGGGGGTTCTATACGATTCTCCCCCTCAGGATTGAAGGGCCCGGGTTGAGGATGCGGGGGGGAAAAATCCGGGGGTGATGTAGACTTTTCACGGGAGCACGTGCGTGTACATCTGCGCGTCACTAGAGATATCACCAGGAAGCGATACATTTCGACTTCACTCGACCGAGAACAAATGATCCCCCGCCAATTTATTTTCATACGTGTGAACAGACAAACGCGCTGAGGTGCATTAAGACCCCCACATGATACTATTTTTTTCAACGGATATAAACAAAACAGATGGAAAACATTTCACGCCCCGTCTCATTGACTAAATGGAGTCAATAAATAGTCATCGAATGATTCCCAAGGGGAGAAATAATAACAAGGGCCAGGTGACAGTCAAATAAATTAATTGTTCACTTAATAATAATAATAGTTATTATTTTTATTAAACTATATCTCACATGTATATATATCTATATGCATATACTTCGTTTTTCATCCGTTTATACATATATACATATACACGCCAATATGTTATTATGTATACTGTGTACACTATTTACTTCATTTTTGGTTTTTTTTTTTTTGGTCGCATGGTTTTTTTATTTCGACCGTTTAGATTTTTTGGTGTTTCCTGTGATTACTTCGACGGTTAAACAGAGTCAATCGCGTTGAGAATTTTCTCCTATTAATGATAATTAATTACCTAGAGTATACATACCACACACGGATATCTCCCAGGAAATTATGTCCCGATTGGGTTTTCCGTTCTCTTGGCTTCGATAGAATTTGAAAAATTAATCTTTTTCGTTGAATTGTCTAAAGAAATTTCTCGCTCTTTTTTTGCATGGAACAACATTATCGGGAGAATATTTGATGAAAGTTGTTGAATTCAATAATGAATTTTCATGAAAATTTCTCTCGATAATTGTGGGATTAATGCGTGATTAATTGGGTCCATTAATTGGGTGACCCCTTGAGCTTCGAAAATGGAGAATTTGGGAGATTTTAGCAAAATCACTCGACAAATGGTCGCCTACGAATTTGTAATCTATGGGAAACTCGACGTTTTATTAAAGAAAAAGAACCACAAAGACATGTTGATGATTAAATCGGGACCATTGAGTTGGAAACATTTGAGCCTCCAGATAATACATCAAGTCATATAATTAAATCTATTTATCCCTCAATAATATCACTATTTATACACACTAGATTGTTCTGAGCAATTGAGATCTATTTGGAGGGACTCACCGTAAAATTCTTGATAGCAGTACATAATTGAGAACCACAACATCCGACTCCACGAGGCGATATTCGACAATAATTCACCATTTTATTAAGGTTTTGTTTTCCGGATCAATACAATCACCGACACGTACTATCTGAGGGATAAAATTGACATCTGTTTCGTGACTTTCCTAATTATATGACACGGCGCTCGGACATCCATCGTGATTATCGTCCATTGATTGAATGTCTAAGAAGAATTAGCTCGACACTAATGAATCATCCAATGAATTTCTTAATAAATAACATCACCTCGTCTCAATACAAAACAATTAAACTCTAATTTGTAAATTTTCATCAACTTTAAATTTAATCGTCGTTAACGTCTATACGAGTGTTTACTTTGATTTAATTGATGTTGATTGATAGTAATCGAGGATGAGATCAAATTATCAAAATACCATGACATTCCTAGTAGAAAAATTGACTTATTGCAATTCAGTTCATAATCTGCATGCACTGGACGTCATATCCACTTTGGAAGTCATAACGTTACTAAAATTCTAAACACAAGGAACCATTCGATCATTCTTGTTTCAATGACTCAGTCAGTTAGATAAATACTTGGTACTCATAATAAATGCAAGTATTCAAGTTTCGTAGTTTATCATTTGGTAAAACTATATCGATTGTATCGATAGAACGTCCATACTTTTTTTTTAAAGGAGCTATCGTCGGAGTGGGTCTTGGGTATTGGCGAAAACCATTCGATTAGGCCAACAGATATTCTCCCTCAACCCCTAAAACGACGTCTGACAATAAAACGACAAACCCAGAATAAAAAACTTATCTTTACGAGCTAATCTTGACTTCATAGTCTTTTTTCTCAGTTGGTTAAATTGAGCTTCAATGGAATAAAAATTAAGTAAAAATCCACCGATAATCAGTGATTAATGGAAAAATGGGGAACGTAATTCAGACTGATGGGGCAGTCGTTAATAATTTTTTTGAAGGTGAATTATCTGAAGTACTTGAGCCCCGCGACGAGGAGGAACTTCTCGATGAAAAGTTCGGAATCTAAGACAGCAATGTGTGCAGCACGTCCGATCAGAGCATTTGCTGTTGGTGGTAATGCATGGTGAACGTCATACCGCACTAAACTCACACCTGGTGTCGACATCACTGGGTACAGAATATTGTGCACCATTTCTCTGTACGCTGCACCTGAAAAAAAAATGTCATCGCTAATGGTTTTCATATTATCGAGGCATCGGCTAATTAATGGAGGTATTTTTTCACGCTTCAATCCCTTCAGACTCCCCGTATATTCCCAAAGTGATTATCCATCTATACTAATCGTTTATATGACTGGAAAAGTGTGCGAACCATTGCACTCAAATTACCGGTTCCCAATCGATTTATCTAATAGTCAAGTTTTCGAGACTGAAATTTCTGTGAAACACTGAGACCGAGATTTTTCGAGATTATTCAGACGAGCTCTCAAAATTTCAAAAATATTTTTGTTGGAATTTCACTGGCTGTCGTGGCACTGAAGATATTTTTTTTATCGCTTCGTTAGTGAAGTCAATTTCTTGCGGTTGGGGACCTAATCAGGGGTGATTAATTACCTTGATCCGTTGGATCGCGAACTGCGGCTTTACAGAGTTCGATACGAGCCGAGTGAAGGGGAACGTAACGATCTTGGGCACTTCCACAGAGCAGTACGTGTTTAAATCTTTGGAGATTACTTCGCTGGCTCAATCGGAACATGAAGGATCGTCGCACGTCCGACGAATCCTTCATCGCAAGCTGCAGGAGCGATCCTGATTTCTTCCATTTTTGCATAAACCACATACCTGGAGAAGATTTAAATAATTGGAAAATATATTTGAAAATATATTGAGAGAGAAACAATCGAGATATTTATGTGATTTGACGAATTACCAGCATTGACAAGTCCACTGGTATTGTACAAAGTGCCAAGATGTGGTCCACTGAGACTTAGGAAGGTATGAAGTCTTGGCAGAAGTGGCCGTAGCTGAGGCCTCGTCAGAGCACTACGAATAATAATGGTCCCAAGGGAATGTCCAATAAAGCTGACTTTTGTTGGATTCAGTCCTGATGTCTCTATGTGATGTAAAATCTCCTCAACTAATCGATCGGTCATAGTATCGAAATCGGAGAAGGTGTCGCCCTAGAATGCAAAATAATTACGATAATGGAATTGATCGACTGAGCCACTACCTGAGCCCTTACCTGATTTCTCTCTGACATGAGAAAATCGAGATGCGCACCCGAGAGGCCAAGTTCGAGGTACGTCTTGACGAGCCGGAGATCAGCGGCATTCCCGTCGAGGCCATGCACGCACACGATGAGATGCGAGCCCTCAGGTGAAAACAGTCTGTACTCATCGCTGATGTAAAAATAAGGTAGACTCGATGCCACACCCGGGTAGTCACTGCCAGCAGCGTGAAAAAACCTCAGATTCAATTAACGATGCACGCAATTCATCACTCGACTACCTCCCCTAAGACCCACTGAGAAGAATCATTATTTTTATCAATTGAAAGAATTTTGGGTGACATTCAATCCCAGGGATCGTTCACAAGTACTTATCGATTAAAAAATTAAGCAGTTACTATTATAACGGCATAAATGAGACAAATTGGATAAAAATAATGATTTTCCTCAGTGCTCTCATGATTATCGACTAACACACCTGTACATTTTCCCCGAGAAGCTCATCTGCCTCTTGAACTCGTCCTTGCACTTTTTAAAATTGATGACATCGTCCTGGGTGGACTGGAGTAATTCCTTACCCTCTTGGTAGCAATCGAAACAGAAATCACGTGTCCCGTAGATGCTCTCAAGTCTCTCCCCGCGATCCCGATTTCTCTGAGGGCTGCATGGGGCTGTTTTGTTCTGCTTCGGACTCTTGGCCTTCTTTACAGTTTCATAAACATGATACAAAGGATTATCAATCATTGGTATGGGCGCTGGATCCCTGAAGGCCTCAGGAGGTGGTGGTTCATCCTGGAACATCTTGGGAGGCGGTAATCGCACTTCCTCGTAGCAGTGGCTCTCCACACTTGTCCCCTTTCCTTTTCTCCCTTTTCTCTCCTTCCGGGTGGTGATTTTACCCGGTCGTTTTGCCAGCTCCGTTCCTGGAACAGCTGTACGTTTTTCTGAACTCGAGGTGTCCCCACTGCTTACCCATCCTGAACACTCGGACGTCAGATTACCGGAGTCAGTACTGGTTGCGGGACTGCTCGGCCTCGAGGATGTCGGACTTACGGCGATTGTCACTGGCTCACCACCGAGGCCGTCCTTACCATCCCTGATTGGCATACAGGGCAATGAAACCGCACTCCTGGGTACCACCACTTTATTTTGAGCAACCGGCACACTAGCGCATCTCAGTCTCTTACCATTCCCCGGTGGCACACAGCTGGATTCATCCGAGGGACCCTGACCCGGGCAAATATCACTCTTCTCTGGGGACTCGATCTTCAGAATAATTTTATTATTGTTCTCCACTTCGAGAACACTCATGGGAGTCTGGGAATTTTGCGGGAGCCTGTGATTTTGTGCTGTAGAATTATCCTGAGGAAGTTTCTTGGAGCGATGATTGCAGCGTTTGCCCTGACCCTCGATTTTCGACAATTCGCTGTCAATGGCGGGGGCGGAATGCGGACGTCGTCCTCTTCTCCCGTCCTCGGGCTTTATCTCGATTTTCGGAGGAATTACCTCGTAGAGGGACTCCCTCGGTGGATTTCCTCTCTTCCCCGTTCTATTCCGCAATCTCGTATCTTTTCTGTCGTAGAGCTCGCGGTTGTCTTGACAGCAGTCGATCCCATGGTCGACGTCGAAGAGCCTCTCGGTACTCTTCGGGCGCTTCGGTCGGTTCTCCTGGGAATTACCACTGGTTCCGTTGGTCCGATAGAAGTAAGAGTCGACGATCAAGTCGGAGCCCTTCTTGAGGCGCTTGTTAAGGGGATCGACGACGAGGGAGTGAGTTGTGACGTCCTCAGTGTTCCCATTGGTCACCTCGAAGAGGGCCTTCGCTCGTACCCGCTCTACGTGGCCCCCCGATGATTTCCCCAGGGTGTGGAATCGCCTCCCCTCGATATCGTTCACCTGACATTTGCCTGCGGACGTCGGACAGACGGACTGCAGGTGCTTCCGGAAATTACCTCGATAGGTCGCACGGTCCAGAGTCGCTGTCCTGAGGGACTGCACCTCCGGGGTACCGTTGGAGAGCTTCTTCGGTGGTACATTCAACAGACGATGACTCCTTGTGTCAATTCGATTGCCCTCTTGTTTCTCGCTCAAACATCCTGACAATTGATTAAAATCGAATTGCCCGACGTACGTCACCCCGAGTTTTTTCGACGGTCTGTACCCCGGGAGGTAATTGTTGGTCGGAATCTCCGGGAACATGGCCGCCAGTAGGGATGTTATTGAATTGGAGGGTGCATCGGCATCGGAGTCTGGCTCGTGGTGATTGTGATGCTCGTGGCAATTGGGAACGAGTAGTTGACTCGATTTAGCCCGAGGAAGGGTGGCTATTGGAGTGGAACCCAATGAGGGATTCGGTGCGGAATACGCCTGGTGATGTCCAAAGGTCGGATAAAGGGTTGTACTCTGTGCAGTGTGAAGTGGAGCCTGGGATCGTGATCGTCCCTTGGAGGGTACCGAAGCTGGTAACGTTGAATTTCTTCCCACGTGTTTGGGAAATAATTGGGTGGATACAGATCGTGGTAGTGTCTTTGGAGATGTTCTCTGTTGCATCGGTGGTATCTCCGGTCCCAGCTGGTCCAGGGATTTGCTGTGACGTGCAGGAAGTGTCGACGGCATCAAACTGAATCGCGCCTGGATCGCAGCTATGTCCTGAGCTGCCCCCTCACTCCGCGGTGACCATACACTAGCTGTTCTCGATTCCAAAATCTGGGATATCCCGCAGCTGCAGTCCTCGGCATTTGGCACGCTGTTACGATGTCTCTGGGTCATATCTGCATACTGGTCCTCGAAGATGAGGGGGAGCGAGTGCAGGTCTCCATCGAGCTCGGGACAGTGCACAGGAAGTGGCGGAAGAGCTGCAAGATATCTTGATCGTCTTGCTGCTTCGCTCACCGCTTGGTAGGATTGGTAATTCGCGTCGTAACAACCCGCTGCCGATGTTCGTGGATTCTCCAGAACGAAGAAACCTTCCGCAAAACGTTTCACCTGTGCAACAGTTGTTGGAAAAATTTCATTTAAAAAATAATCACATATTCAAAAATTCGGAATAGCTGTCCGGGTTGGGCGTTCAAAATTCCCCGGCTTCTGAGGACCACGTCTAAATAATTCGCAATTTGGAATAGTCACCCGGAGCTGATGATGGATCCGTGCGAGATGCTGATGAATGGCCTCTTGCTTGGTGAAGGCCTCGAGGAAAATGTGCCAGAGGACGATATTCTGGGCACACAACTGAGCTATATCCACTTCATCAGAGTCGATCATCTAACGGACATCCACATTAATGAAATTGGATATTTAATTGTATTTCTTAATAATTCAATTATGAATTTATAAATCACCCTGGAAATTTCCTTGTGCTTTCTCTCAGCTATCGAAGTATCGAGGTCTCGTTGTTCCCAGGATGGCAGGAGTCTGGCAAGATCCGCGATGTCATTAAGAAGATTCTCCCTAGCGGCGAGTAAAAGTCTCGTTACTTCGCGCTGCATGAGCTTGGCATTTTGGATTCTCGTTGCTGATCCCACGCACTTTGTTGTTATTTCCTACGATCAAAGGGAATACACGCGATCTACAATGACCCTGTGATCTCAGATATTCATGAAATAAAATTTGAATTACTGTATTTGCAAAGGTACTGCTCTCCCCATTGGCAGGCGCTGGCTGTTTCGACTGCAGCCATTGTTTACCACTTCGTGGAGCACTAAAAATATTATTAATTAACTTATAAATAATTTCTACTAACCAGATTAAATTCAAATGCAATATATTCACGACAACAGACGGAAGGCTTTTCTCTCACTCACCAGCTCTGGACGTAGTGAAGAATACTCTTCCTGAGGGTATTGCAAAATTAATAGACAGTGAATGGTAGGATAATTGAGGTAATTGAGAGACTCACTTAACGAATGGCTGATGGAGAGCTACTAAACACACGTGTATCGTCATCGAGACTGCAGCCAGGTGGAAGTAATCGAAGAGCACTGGCAGGTGATAGTGGAGACCTTTGGTCGGTGTAAAATTTAACTGGAGTGCTCTGAAATACATACGGCAAATTTTAGGTGATGATACCTTCGTGTGGTGTACCTGTGATGCACTCACCTGGATGAGACACATGCCATGTTCCCTGGTTGAGTAGGTTCGCTGAACCAGAGCTCTACGCCCAGATGGAAATGGGTTCGTGACAGGGTCTCCTCGATTTTATGACTATGAACAAGTACATGAGCTCGAAACAGCACCGATGTACCCAGTGTGATCTCCTCGTTTCGGTACAGTATTTGGAAACGCTTGCTGGTACCTGGCATTTCCATACTCTCTAATGAACGTTTTTCTATTTTCCAGGATAAATTATGTGTAAGCAGTCGCTCAAAGTAATAACGAATACGTTTAATTATTCAACAATTAAATAAACTCTATAAATTCGAGTCTATAAATTGCGTTATTTCTCCAAGAAAATTCTAGACTCTAGAGTCTAGAGTCTAGACTTTTCTATCAATTTTTTTTGATGCGTGCACCGCTGAGGCGAATGTATGGAAATCCAACGAGATGGGAATTTTCTATTTTTAAAAGTTCGATGGGAATTGAATAGCCAGTCAATGCACTGGGTTTTCTCATGAATTTTTTCCCGAAAATGTGGCACACAAAACTTACGATTGCGAACTTGATCGACTTCCACTTTGATTGGCAGTTTTGGAGAGACCCGAAGCGCTGTGCGAATTTGATAATACCTGAAAGCATTGGTACACCCGTCAGTGGGGCATGTATTATGCATTACGGGATAGATCTTACCCGCGCTGGAATAGATCGACATTGTAGAATTTGCAGAGCTCGAGAGAGAACTCGAGAGTAGCTTGTAAATCGCTCATCGCTCTGTCCAAATTTTCAATGGATCCACCCGCCTCTTCGACTTCCTCACGATAATTCCACTAGTGTTGGTCAAATCGTCGATTAATCTGAGTGCTCATTGCACTGTCATTGCAATTATATAATGCATTCGTAAAGGGAGTCTGTGGTTTTCCTGGTGCAACGACGACTCGCACCACTCGAGACTCTCGTCTATTGAAGACCTCCAAGGGCTTGCTCCATCCTCTCATCATGCAGGTCAACTAGTTCCCGACACTTTCCACCTAAACATTCATTCACTATTGCTAATAAATACTCATAATTAATTCTGTCATTAATTCAGTTCACGGAGTTGACATTTCATCCCAGAGATTGACGGAATACATTCTACTAATCAATAATCAATCCATTAACCGTTCAATTTTGACAAAGGTACTGGACATTTTCAGGTTTTCGTGGATTAAAAAAATTTCAATTATGAATTATGAATGGTGAAATAATTTTCAGTCATGCTGTGGCTCAATCAGAAACGACTCCTCGACCTGGACACCTTGGATCCCCAAAAAACCCAAAATCCACAAAATAAAATTGTCCTCTTCCCTTGTTTATGCAACATCTAAACAAAATCCACCGTGTCTGATCCCTCAGTAGGTCTTCTTTATATAATCCACCGGGGTTAATGACAAAGAGCGCGTGTCACCCAGAGCTTGCAACTTTCCCGTCCCATATCATCAGCTTTACCCCACTTTAGTACTCACTGGAACAAAGTAGGATACACCAAGAGGTACTCCAAGGCTGGAGTTAGTTAAAACGACACAAAAACTACCAAAAGAGACAACCCCGGGGAGTAACACACGGTGAGTGATTCGTTGATAAAAAAAAAAATCATGGAGTAGTGGAGAATAATATCCAGTCGTAATTTTTTCTTTTTAAATTTCTATTCGCCAAGCAGAAAGTCCACCCGACGAAGCAAACACCGACGAGTTGCAGAAAACGAATGGCAGCCAAAAATAGACGAATGATAGAGAGGGAAAATTTAATCCCCAATTGTAGAAATGCGTGGGAGGCATGAGGATAATCAGGGGATCATCAGGCTCCATTGAATAAATAATCTTACACGATACAAATGTCAGAGCAATGAATTTATCCGAGAAAATATTGAAACTCCAATTGGAAAGTAGCGAGTGTGTGTATTTGGTCGGACGTCTAGACATTCATATCCGCCCGGAAGAGGGTTTGCATGGGGTTTAAGCTGGATTAAGCCCCCACCGATGATATCCTCCCCAGTTCATCGATCAGGGCATCATCAACGAATCGGTGAATCATCGGAACGAGTCATCTGGACATAATGCTCTTATATATTCGAGGCTGGAATCAGTGGTTTCAATGACCAAGGCGATCCTCCCGGGGCTTTTTTTCCTCGGCTTTGTGGTGCATCTCGATGAGACCATTCGTCAATTCTTCGCCCATAGAAACCCACGGAAAGGGGACGCCGGTCAAATTGCGGCCATCCTCGCTGTCCTCTTTTGTCTGATACACGGTTTTATACAACGGTTTCGAGTCTTTGTTGGGAGACCATCAAAATGGGAGATAGGACTTACAGGAATTATTTCTAGTGGTGAAACTAAAAGGGTAATTGTCCCAGGGGAATTGTTACTCCGTTACTATTTCTCCATCCCACGCATTACCCTTTTCGCTTCATCAGTCCGCCGACTGGAAGAAATCATGATTAATTTTTCCGAAAAGGTGAAACTTCGTCTGGAATTGGAGAAGGATTTGGTGTTAAAAATTTCAGCGGAATTGAGTAAATTACTCGCTCAATTCTCCTAAATTCATTAAAGCGGATAGTGAACTCTTGTGCATTAATTAGCACATGGGAAATCTCGTGTCCGAGAAAATGTGAGGGCTGACGGTTTCACGAGTTCAGCACTCATTTTTGACGGGTTCTAAGAAATTTCGTGTGTTAGAAATTCGTGACCCAATTAACTCTCATTACGATATGCCTCCGCTAATTGGAATGCAACGGTAGATTATGGAAATCCAGAGAGTACGGTTGGTCCTGTGTTTTCAAGGTGTGCAATTTTTTTTTATTGAGACTCGTCGATGAAAATAAGGAATGGATAAATCAGACTACCGGATGTGTCACACGGTAAGATTGAGGGATTACGGGATTAAAGGGCCTCAGGAACACGTTCCTCATCAGCACTCACTTCCGCCTTTTATATAACAACCAGGTACGAGCTCTTTTCACTCGGTCACTCTCCAGATCGTTTGAAACTTTGTGTATGAATAGAAGTAGGTTTTAGAAACAACAATAACGATCGCCCTGAAAGAGGACAGGCCCTCGATAGAATCGTTTCGCTGGAAGGGTTTTTTTTTTCGGGGTCACCAGCAATCTCCCTGATAACCGCAAATAACCTAGGGTATAAAAATAATTAAGCACTTTAATTCATTAAATATTGCCTTGAACTTGATCATCAAACGAAATTCCGGGGGAATGGTAAATGGGTCGGGGGTGATAATCGATTATTTAAAAAACCGAACGCATAGGCGAGAAAATAATGCCGGAAGGGCAAAAGCCCGATCGAAAGTTCGCCCCACCTCGGATTGAATATAGGGGGTTGAAATTTTCCTTCTCGCTTACGCTCCTTCGACGCACACGAAAACTCTCACTCGCGCTTGGCCCTTCGTTCCTTACGAACCCGGGCGTCACCGAAATTCCGTGGACATTTCACCCCCCAAGTTCTGTTTTGTGATATTAATTTATCTTGGCACAATCCTTGTCCCTGTCCCTGTCCCAGTCTCATCCATTTCCGTGCATTCCAAGACGATCATCGAGGATCATACCATCCGAAATTATCTCCCCAGGAAATGACGAGAGAAATAAAAAATAAAAATCAACAAAGACCTGACGCTAATTGTCGTGCATGGGGAGGAGCCCCTCGTGTGAATGAGTCATTTACCTCTCGCTGTCAACCATTCTCCCCTGGAAAGCTTGAGAAATCTTTTAATGTTGAGTCGCACTCAGCTGACGGACACTCCACCGTCGTCACCCATCGTCAGGCGGATCCTCTCCACTTGAATTCACCCCACCCCCCCCAGCCTCCCTCCACCCTGGACTCACCACTTCAACACTTTATCCCGAATAAAAAAAAAAAATTGGGTTGCACCAATTTATTTCACTGAATTTTCACATCCACTGAAATACTGTGTATTAACCGTAATGATCGATCCCACTCATCACTTATTTCTACTCCCCTATGTGCGATGGGTGCATGAGCTGCGGGTAAAAAGCCATCGACTAAAAAAAATCATGCACGAATAGGCGAGTTAACTGCCAGTGGAAGTGAGATGTGACAACGGGTATTGCTGGGACACGAATAAAGCTGAATAAAATGTCTACAATCACACGCGAGTAAGTTTGGATGTTGCTTCGGCGCAGGAAATTCGCGGAGATGTGCGCCAGAACGGTTTAAAGTTTGCGCGCGCCTGCTCCATTCCACCCTCTCTTACAAAACCACCCCCTTCCGCCCCTCATCACCACCCAACCCACCCACTTATCGCATGCACTCAAGACGACATGCAATAAATAATATGTGCATCTAAAACGAGTATTACTTTATTTTTACCTAGATTAAAAAATTTACATATCGAAAAAAATGTACGTATCGAAGAAAATTTATGTATCGAAAAAATTTTAATGGAAATAAAGAATTTCTAAGAAATTTCCAATTCTATTAATAAAAGCAACACCTGGTGATATTTAAAAAAAAAATGAAGTGAAAAAAATGGGGGTGAATATTTGGGATTCTTCATTATTGAATCTCATGGTTTTTATAATTGTTAACTCGATTGAATAAACAGTTTGATGTAGATTTATATATTTATAGCCTCATACGCTACATTCGTGTTCTTTATCATAATTCGATTGACATCGTTATTACTGAATTATAGTTTTTATTCTTGTCCCATTAGCAAACATGAGGAGCAGACAACAGATATTGCACGATGTTCCTTTATTCTATTTAAACGTAAAGTTTTATTCAACGAGCGAGCAGACTGACCAGTTCACCAGCGATTACAATAATACTACTGATCATAATTTACATTTACACAATAATCTCATATCGTATTCGTTTTCCATCCATTTATAGTTTGTCTTCTAGGTAGTCCTTCCCTAATTGTTTATCTTCTTCGAATTACGCTGGATGACGCAGATGTTCCCAGTCGAGCCTCCAGATTCAATTCAAGTAAACGGAATAAGTGGATCAAGAAATTTGATATGAAAAATTGTAAAAAAATATACAGATCACACGTTACACGCAATATACATACAACGAAAGAGAAAGTATAGGAGAATCAATTCAGCGACAGAGTGATAAAGTGACGTAAATCTCATTTTCATTTTTTTAAACGTCGATTGGTTTGACAAACCATTCATTTCAAAAGGAAATGCCAAAATACCTTTTTTGCGGGAAATTCAATCAGCTACAAAAGTCATTTTAATTTGTCTCATTTGTCTGTTTCATCACTTGGCTACCGAATTGAAGAATTTGATACCAAGGCCTAAGCCACATTCAACTTTGGCATTTTTTCGTTTTATTCACGTTTCCAATAATCAAAGGGAACTTAAGAAACATGGAAAACTGTCAAATTTAAATTTCAATCAACTTTTATATCAATAAGAAAAAATGAACGGCCTGGAGGATGCGCTTGATGCAGACAATATTGTTCTTTTGATTGTGATAGTTAAAAAATATGGTAAATTATTGTATCATTCGGTGGATCGGGGAAATTTGGGGATTGAATTTCAGGACACACGACGACGACGTCTACGTCGTTGGCGACGGTGGGTTCGGGCGTTGTGGCGACGCACTGAATTGAAGCGGTCCGCAAGTATCGTGCTCGAGCGGCCGACCCGGTGTCTTCATAAACTATCATCGCTGTCATCGGCATGGGCTTCGATGCTGACTGTTCTCGCAAGACCACTTCCCTCCACACTAACTTCTCCACTCGTTTCGGCCTCTTGGTCGGTGGACACGTTCGGAGCTTGTGGATCATCTCCTGGGAAATAAAATAATGACATACAATATTTATCTTCATGAAAAAAATTCCAATTCACTCCCAAAAAATTGACCAAGATTCTCACCAGACTGGGCTGAAGGTGAATCCTCCTCGCCCTGTCCAGGACTTAAGATAGCCTCTTTGATTTGACTATTAACCCCCTTTGGATCCAGATCAGTCGCCCAGCTGAAGTACATCAAAGCGAGATGGGTATTGCCTAATTTTTTATGAACCTGCACAAAAAAAAATATGAATGAGCATCGAGAGAGAATTTTGATATCTTTCCGTTTTGAGCGAGTGAAGCAATGATACTGTACTTTTCCTATTGAATAATAGACTAGAGATTCTTTGGGTGCAATATTTTTCAGTTCCTCGAATTCTCTGAGTGCCTCGGTATGTCGACCAACTGAAAAATTGATACTGGCCCGGTGAAACTTGCACAGGGTGTTGTCGGAGGCGTTATCAATGGCTTTGTTCAACGTCTGCAGTGCCTTATCTGTCTTCTTCAACGCATGCTGAACCACCCCGATATGACACATTATCGCTGAATGATGAGGGTTTATTAGAAGTGCACGCTTGAAGTGCAATTCTGCGAGACTATATTGCTCTTGTTTGGAGAATATCGTGCCAAGTCCAAACCAGGCATTGTAGTGTCTAGGATCGAGCCTAATAGCATTCCTGAAGGCTGTAATGGCTTTATCAAGTTCCTCAGTCAACACATATTCATGACCCAGAAGTGTATAAGCGTACGGAAAACTCGGATCAACTTGAATAGCACGTTGAAAGAACTTAATGGCAGTCTCATGCTCTGTTTGTGCTGAGAATAAATTTCCAGTTGCACACCAGGCGGCCGGTGAATTGCGATCTTCAGCGACGAGTTCCTGGGCTAGAGTAGACAACTGAACTTCCAAATGCAAATGCCAGAGTACAGTGCTGTATATTTCCATTAGATCAGTGCGTTGGGGCTCCAGTTGTCTGACCTCAGCGAAATAACTAGCTGCTTTCTTGTAATCATTCATCTCAAAATACGCTTTAGCCAACATAGACAACACCCATCCCGTATTATAGTGATGAGTTGGAAGTGTATTAAGTATTTCTACAGCCTGGACACAGTTGAATTGACTCAAATTCTGGTAGGCCATCCCCAGGTCTCGCAGAAGGGACATAAGACCCTCAGCGCACTGTTTCTGCACCATGAGAGCACAATGAGAAACATTGCTCTGATTAAGCGCATTCGTTGTGGCAACCATCTTCTCCGAAGTTATCGTCTCACTCTTCTCCTTCTCACTTCTATTGCGCTCATTGATCTCATTAAAATTTGTTTTATTTAAATTAGTCTTTGATAAACGTGCTTTGGTCTTTCTGCTTGGCGACTTGGGGGTGGCGAATTTGTTTCGATTCGGTGATTTGTTGTTCTCCTTTACCGAGTAACTGTTGCTGAGGAAGAGCCTCGATGATCGTCGGACATTTGGACCCTGAAGAGTGGGAGGCGGTGGGGTTGGGGTCGTTGGTGTGACAGTGACGATGTTAGCGGTGTTGCTAGTGTTACCTGATTGGGAAAAAACGGGCTTGCCCTGCTGCAGGGGCGTCTCCTTCCTGGACATGAGTTGGCCTACGTGGGCACGGAGGCTGCTCACACGTTTTGCCAGGCTCTTCTGGTCATTGGCCTCTGTGAGGGTCACGTGAGCGGGCAGCACAGGCTCAGGAGTATTGGTCTCCAGTGGCAGAATACCAAAGCTAGGTGTCAGGGGACTCATCGAATTACTGAACATACTTCTGTAACGCGGAGGTTTACCTCTTGGTGATATCGTTGGTGGATTGTTGTAATTTATCGACGCCAGCTGGGGGCTCTCGTCAACTCCCGGGTACAGCCTCACCCCTGGCGACGTTCCATTCACAATGACGCCCTGTGTTGGGGTCATATTATTACTATTTTGAATTGGCGAGTTGTTGTTGGTGTTGGGAACGATAAAGTCGGGCTCGGAGATGTAGTTTAACTGGTTTGTTCCATGACACATGGCGAAATTGTCGAGCTTCTCAAGCTGGAATATTTTCGATGGATCCACTTTTTCACCCACGTTGCACAGCTCCTCAAAGGAATGCCACAGGAAGGGGTTGAGCTTTAGAGCGAGCTTGTGGGCCTCCACAGCCTTCGCTGTTCTCATCATCTTGTAGTAGATTTTGGCGATTATCTGGAGGGAGAAGCACGCCTGATCCCCAAATTGCATTACGATGTCCTCGAGACTCTTTATTTGTTTGTAATAACCACCAACGATAGCTGCCTCTGCGTCTGCGTATTTCTCCAGGTCGAAACAACATTTTGCCAGGAGAAATCTACATTGGGAGGAGGTCGGGGCCTTCTTCGAGAGCAAACCGTGGGCCTGACGTAGTCTCCCCGATCGGTAGTAACAGGTGGCCAGGAGGAAGAGAGTGTCCTCGTTGTCCACTGCAATTTACGATTTTTATAGCAAAAGTTTATTGGATCCACAAGATTTATTTTTCAGCAGATATTACCTTCAGCAAACAGTCGCTCTGCCAGAAAAATGGCATCTGCATATGCATAATGATTCAGACAATGCCATATGGACGCCTGCAATAATTTTTATCATACATTAATAATCAATAACAAGATGAGGGCATGACATTTACTCCAAGTCTTTTGAAAAAACTGGTAAAACTTGACAACTCACTTCCACACACTCCCCATGTAAGATATCATTGAAAGAGCTATTCTAATTTCCTAAACATTCGATGATTTTAATTTTCAAACGGTAAGTTACGAGAGCTAAGATTGAGCCAGATAATCTCCTAAAGATCACGACGATTTTTTTTCTCATGGCTAACCCAGAAAAATTTTATCGCCGACTTGGCGAGAGCTGTCACTTGCCCGAGGAGAAAATCATCTGATGACACGTTGCACACGCAAAATACGAGAACTGTCAGGAAAATCTTTCCAATAATTGGTTTGCATGGGAAAATGGATTGACATGACAAGATAATATTCATTGGCCATGTGAGGGAATTGTCAAGTATTGTGAGGGCGAGGGAGCAGAAGATAAAATGACAAAAGGGATCAGAGGGGCTTGCAGACTTTGCGAATTTGATATTGACACGATCATGCGATTAAATGCATTGAGCTAATCGCATTGAATCGTATTGAATCGTATTTCATTCGTCATCCTTGTCTCTCATCGATCCGTCTGATGTGTATTACTGATTTACTGTAGCTCACCTGAACGGGCTCCTGTACAATCATATTTTCCGAATTTCAGTCACACACATAAATAGTACAACGGAGTGATGTTGATGGTTGATTTTATTCCGAGGTTAACGGATTTCTACAGTCCTTATTTCACAAGGTATTTTTTCTCATGCAAGGAATCAGTTTAAGAGGCCATTTTTGCTCTGTCCTTTTGAACTGCACAACTGTCTCTCTGTGAAGTGGTGGACTGCAACTTTCGGAGGGTAAATTTCCCCAGCCCCTAGGGGTTTTTCGGGGTCTAAAACGTGGGGATATCGGGGCCCCTGCTAGATCAACCAATGACATCTCGTTATATTTGAATCACCGGAGGATGGATTGGTCGAGGCCACAGTAGTTTGAGTTACTTCTGATTTCATCATATTTGTCACAGCTTCCAGCCGAATTACTGATTGTTCAGACAGTAATCGAGAAATATGAATATTCCGGTACCACGGATTCGATCAAAACTCATGGATTACTACGTCATTGCACTGACAATTCACTAGGACAATTGGCAAATGGAATAGTACATCTGACTTTTGATTAACCTCTGAATAATTTCACAGCTTAATCTGTCATTCACAGAATTAATTTTTTTTCAATGAAACTTGATGGGAGGGACGAGTAATTAATTATTGCCTTCTAAATTTTATAATCTCCAATTTGGAGGACGAAAAAATTATCCAATTCTGTTCTATTAACATTTCAGTACTGAAGAGTAAATCATCATGAGTCAGTTGTTAAATTTATATCGGCATCTCCTCGGTAAATATCCATTTCGGGTGCAAGCTATTCAAGCAGGTGAGAAAAATGATACATCTCCAGGAATTGCTCCAATAATTTCGATTTTGTACTGAATTATAAAATTTATTTAAGGCGCCCTAATGGCACTCGGGGATCAAATAGCGCAGAACCTAGTGGAGGGACGGAATTTCGAGGAAATCGATTACTCGCGCACAATGAAATTCTATGCAATTGGATTTTGCATAGGTGTGAGTACCACAGGATTGCGTTAGTTCTGGCTGGTGCAATGCTCGTGAATATGGCCTATTGAATTTCAGGGACCTACGACCTTCACGTGGTACAGATTGCTGGACAAACACATTGGCTCAAAGGGCGGTCTTGTGGCAGCGAAAAAAGTAGCCTGCGATCAACTGCTATTTGCCCCCTGTTTCATCGGTGTTCTTTTGAGCTCGATCGGCTTCATGCAGGGTAACAGCCTTAATAGCGTACGAGAGAAACTCCAAAAGGAATACCTTGACATTCTCCGAAATAATTACAAAGTGAGTGGATTAAAAAATCGAGGGAAACACTCCGAAAAATTCACGGCGAAGAAAATGGCTAATTCGTTAGAAAAATTATATAAACAATTCATTTGGTAATTAGCCACTTGTCTATTTTAAAAATTTCAGGTGTGGCCAATGGTACAAATGATAAACTTTGCGTTCGTTCCACTGCAATATCAAGTCCTTGTGGTACAGTCTGTTGCAGTCCTCTGGAACTCCTATGTTTCTTATCGTACGAACAGAGACGTAATTAAAAAGACGGACTCATGAGAATGTCTCTACTTTTAAATTAATTAAATAAAAAATGGTATTTCCGGGTGTCTGCAGGGATCAAAGAGGATATGTATGAACAATTTGGTATTTTAGTCTAGCCAAAGATAATGCAAATATTATTTGCACATAAAAATGTTTTATATCGACGATTACAATGCGTTACATATGGGAACAATTATCCAAATAAATGCAATCGCAAAAAAAAAATCATTTTATCAGTTGAATCTATTAAACAACAATTCAATAACTGGATTAACCCTCGGTCAACATTTCTCGGCTTTAGCGATAGCAGCGGGAATTTTCTCGGTTGTCCTCGACGTTGTGCATGGCCCCAATAACTCGGGGCACGGTTTCTCATTCGTTTGGATCTCGTACACTCTTTTCAATAGGTCGTAGTTGATGCGGGGAGTAACAACCGCATCTTTCCTGGAGGGAATCGTTAACATTTTAATTGATGTATTTGAATAGATCTAATTGATGACTCACATGTACTCCGGATGGGATTCGACTTGTCGTCGCAGCCAGGCAGCAGTCGTGAGGAGTTCCCCAGAGGCTCGTCTCTGTATGAGCTTGAGGTATCGTTGGACTGTACAATGTGTATCAGCGTCGACATTCATGCTGGCTAGGTATGAATTAACCAGGGCAATAAGACCCACAAAAACTCCCTCCTGTCAAGCCCAAATGGAAATGAGTCCTCATTTTCATTGCACCAATTAATCCAAAAATGAATAATTTAACTTAATGTACGAGCTTACTTTTCCGTTGATAATTTCATTCACAGTGAACTCAGTGTACTCATCTTCCACCTTTTGATCGTCTTTAGCTTCCGATGTAATATCTTTTCTGAACCAAAATTTTTCAGTTCTAACGGCATCCCGTTTCTGCGCTTTTGCCATATTCTCGTCGACTTTGCTAATTGGAATTAATAGATTCAAATTGTAACTGAGTATGACCCTGGAGAGTAGCACAATGAAACAGACAATAGCCGCATTCTCAAAGTCAGTTATTTGAACTTCGCAGGGACGAAATTCAACTCGCCAGCCAATTGACGAGTTGGGAGGTGGTGGCTTGAACCTCATGGTCTGCCAATTCGTCGACTGGATATTCTGCATAATTTTTAAACAGTCCGGCATTAATTACTCCTCACAACAGAGCTTAATTAATTCAGCAAACATACAATTTAATAATTCACTCACTTCAAAGTGGTCAGTGTCCTCTTCATCATTCTGATGAACCTTCTCCGAAAAAAGTGAGACCGAGTCTCTGATGAAGAGATGCGCCACGTGCTGTGCCAGGAGTCGATCAATTCCATTTTCCATCAATTGTTTGTAAATATCGTCGTCATAAGTGAGAGGTACATCGTTGTACTTGCCCCCTTGATTACTGAGATACGAATCAATGGAATCATAACGTGATTTGTTGATTCGAAATTTGTTCTCCTTCAGTGGCTCGAGTCCACGCTCCTCCTGTGTTCTACAATCAACGGAACAGGAAATGACATTCCATCGGCAATCAACGTCTGTCAGGTAGCCACGGTGGATAGGGCTGGCTGCGGTGAGTGCCAACTGTCAAAGGTTAAATCAATATTCTGTAAATGCACGCAAAAAACACCATAGTCTATCTGTCTCTCTATTTTTTTTTCATTCATCCATGATTCGCAGAATCGCTTTTATATTGTGCGTGATGTGAAGGAATTTTTAGACGTACCATAATGGGACAGAGTGGTGCCAACTGATCGTACAGTGTTCGTGCCTCTTCGATATTACAGGCCTGGAATGTCAGCTGCAAACAGCAACAACCCATGCCGAAGCCCATTGCGTCCATGTACACATGATTGTCTTTTGCTGCACTCTGGCTGCTCCCATCATCCCCCAATGCCTTCAAATCCTCTCTGAAGGGCTCTGGTACATTTTCATCCCTGAAAACTGATTTTTTTTATGAAGAATAAATAGAAAGATTTTTGTCTTTTCCTAAAAAAAATATTTTGAAGAGAATTGAATATTCTATTTTTTTTTTACTGGAAGCTCTAGGTCTTGACTCACTTGGGAGATTGATAGCGACTTTTTCCCCCCGACGTTGCCGAATATTCCTCGTCAACGTTTTGAATCTGGGATGACCTGGAAAAATAGCCTCGTCTGGAAAAAAGAGACTCCTGGAGGCTCCAGAGCTGGGAGTTGGCTGCGACGGTGGATCAGTGAAATCCGGACAGCCAAGTCTATAAAAAAAAAAAAATCAGCAAGTGCGTATTCCCCCTTCTGCGGGAATTCATCTATTGAAATGAACACGAATGAAATATTACCTGGGAAAACTCGTTAATGACATGACAGCTTCCCCCGGCTTCAGCTCATTCATGACTTCTTGTCTCCGATACCGCATATTCGCCTCGACAACATTAAAATGCGCCAACAAACCGCCGTACGGTTTTCCTGGAGTTCCCTCGATCATGTAAGCCCCATATTCCGGCCTCCAGAGTGACTTGACCCCACTAATACAAAATCAAAACTTATTCTCCGCCACATTCCCTTCTCAGTAACCGAGAGACGTAACATCTATTTTATTACTCACGTGGGGTCTTTATGTTCCTTTTCATTGAGTGGAGTGAGAATCTCTGGAGCTCTTAGACTGACCTTGGCTGTTTTCTTCTCATCGTCGAACTTTACCAGTATATATTCAACCTGTTACCACAGGAATGTGTTAACTACATTGAATTATGAGACTTTCAAGCAAAAAATCAAAATATGACACGTGAAAAAAAAATATGAATAACTGACATTTTATTTTCTAAAATAACGCTTTGAAAACATGAAGGCAATTCGATTCAATGAGTAATACTTCAGATAAATATGATCCTAGAACAGGCCAGGGCAATAAAAAAACAATAAAAATTCTTCAATGTCATAAAAGGCGGTCCATTAGACATTCCGATACCGAATAATTCTTTAATTACACTATCAAACGCCACCGGATATCTACCACCACAATCTACCAGTGAAACGAAAAAAAAAAAATCACAAGGACATGACTTAGCATTTAACAATGTACCATCGACGATTACTCCACAATCTTGTGAAATACAAACATAAATCTTGAGAATTTCATTTTATCTCTCCACCTTGCAAACGACGAGGAAGTGCTCCCTTCCCAACAACTCGTTCCTCTTCACATTCAAATTACTCTGACATTCGCAATTAAACCCAATGGATGTACACGCAAATAGTCACCAGTTATTATTGCGTCGTTGGAGATGATCAACAAAAAAATTCAGAAAATACAAAGGATCTTCGAGGTTATTATTCCGTGGTAATCCAATCCGAGAAGCTGTCAAAGGGAGAAGAAGCCCTAAAATGCTTGCAATTTTTACGTGAATAGGAAAATGGATGAGTGTAAACGAGAAAATTTGAGGAAAATAAATGAAAATTACCTCATCGCCCCATTTAAGTACATCTCCTTGTCTGTCTCTGAGTCTTTTGTACAAATTAATGAATTGTATAACTCCGTGTTTTCTCACATGATCCGAGAGTTTCTTCGTCTCTTCCCAACTTAGTGGACTACCCTCCGTTAATAGCCCCATTACTTTTTAGAGTTAAAATCAAGTGGTTATTACGATCGAGTTGATACACAGACTGCCAGTCACTGACTGACGACTACTCCAGTCCGACTCAATGCGTAAACTATCGACTCGACGGAATTTTCAGTACGAGGAATGCCCACGCCACTTCTCAGAACCCTATCTATGTGTTCATTTGTGACATTACTCGTAAATCATTAGATTTCAGATCTACCGCATTCGTTTTTCCCTTTTATTTCTGTTGAAATCGATTAGATATAGGAATTATATAAAAAAATTGGACGATAAGGGACTGTTGAAGAAATATCTCTGAATCTACTACAAATATCAAAAAATTTGTGATATCCTTTTTTGCAGATATCAATTTTGAATGATCAATTCGGCGAAAAAGGTTTTTCCAAAAGTTTTGATAACCGCCCTGAATTTCGAAGTATTTACTGATCAATAGTCGGAATTGATGTGAAGGGTTTTGGGATTGTTTTGATAGAGACAATTTTTATGGTTTTCTGTACTTTATTCGGACGTCGGTACAAAACATCAGCAGCATTCCCATGGAGAATATCTGCGGTCAATAGAACAAAGTCAGTGAATTGGTTTCGTTTAATCGAAGAGACCGAAACCCATGTCGTCGTCCTCGGATTCGGATTCCTCCTTTTTCTCTTCCTTCTTGTCGGCAGCTGGGGCTGCGGCTGCAGCGGCTGCTGGAGCACTAGCAGCAGCAGCTGCTGCGAATTTGCTGGGGTCCTGAAACAAGAGAATTTATCCTCTATGAATTTTGAATTTCAAAATGCAATAAATTGGGGCAACAAATGCAGAATTTTCAGACAGCGTTTTTACGCGATTTTGCAACAGCGACAAGGACACGTCAGTGGGTCCAGCTTTTCAGCTCTGACGCGTGACCCCTCGTCTTCAGACGCGTTGGATTTTCATCATTGTGTAAATTAAAGAGACTTTTAAGTTCATTCGAGAATAACTTGAGATTACCTTGATGTACTCCTTGATGGTGGCAGCCTCAGCGAATTCGACGTCAGTAACAGCGGCGACAGCCAGAAGATTTTTGAATCCATTGGCAATGCTGTGTGGAGCACTGGCGACAGTGGGATAGCCAATGGCCAAACAAACTGCAGCCAAATTGGCAACACCAGCCAGGAATTTTTCACGGAGGTCCTCTGGCTTGATATCGAGAATCTCAGGAGCGAAAATAGTCCCAGAATCGTATACCTGCTCGACGAGGAGACCATACGAGAATGGAGAGATGTTCAACATGTTGAGGAGAGTTGCCTCTGAAGCTCCGACTTTGTCTCCAGGTTTCAGAATGTGGACATCGTTCTGTCAAAAAATATACTGGATTAAATACTCATTGCAATCAAATAAATGACTATTTCAATTGTGAATTGTAAATAGTACTCACGATAATTTCAATAGTACCCTTGGAAATTTTCGTGGGAATACTGAGGGCCTGGAAGAAGGAAGTCTTCTCCGGTCCCAGTCCAGTGTTCTGAGCTGGAATGATGACACTCAATGGAGCAATAGCTCCAGCTCTAGCTGGTGCTCTGACTTTGTTCTCCAGGAGTTTATCCCTGACCTCGACGAGGTCTCCACGAGTGAAGACGAAGCCCACATTGCCTCGAATGTGAGGCAGAAGTTTTTCAAGGGCAGCATTCCTCTCGATGTGTCCTCGAATGGCTTTTCTCATCATGGTATTCTTTCCCATGAGAACAACAGCACTCCCACGGAGGGACATGCGAATTTGCTGCATCTGCTTCGAGCCGACATTGTCCGCGCCCACGATAAAGCATTTTGGATAGTCATCCAAAAGTTGCTGGAAAATAATAAGTTGGTACTTAGGGCTCGACACGATCGAGCGATTTATGGAATCGGAGGGATTCAATGGAGATTCTTACGATAAGTTTTGTGAAGTAGTTGGACTTCCAGCTTGCCTTGTCCTCCCTACCCATCTTGAAGTGAAAATAGGGATTTCGAAAAGTTTAAGGACTGAAACAAACATTGAAAATCTCATACATGAAGCTAAATGCCTGGGAAATGTTAATACATCAGTATTAAAAATAAAAATGTGGCTAATTATCAATAAATAGTCATGCCACATGGCTTGTTAACCTCAACACGCGTCTCACTTTCAATATTTTTAACTTGAAGTGATTATTTTCGAGCCAATCGACATGAATTTCAGGAAAAACACTCCGGATCCATAATAGAGACAATAATCAGAAGACTTATAAGCTAAACAATTACTTTATTTTTGTGAAAATAAAAGAGTAAAACGCGGTAGCTTACCTCGGCAAAATCTACGGGCGTAATGGACGAGAAAACGGAAATCTATTCGTCAACCGGAAATTCGAACGGTAGTTCCAGGTTTGAGAGACCCCAGCGGCATTGTAGTACTCCACCCCAAGAGAGGGAGGGCACCACACGCAATGTTGGGGTGTCCATCAAGTCGGCGGGGTGAATTTTATTTTCTGCTGCATGAATGCTTTTTGTTTTTTATTTGTTTAACTGAAATTCAGTCGACTGTAGGACGAGCGAAAGGAGGAAGCCACATTTTGTGGAATTTCAATGAAAAAAGTTATTCAATATATTGAAGATATACCACTAATGAATTTTTATTTTCAGAATAAGCGCGTTGTCTCAATGGTAACGTGCTTGCCTACCACGCCGACGGCCGGGGTTCGATCCCGCCGTTGTTCATTTTTTTTTTTAAATAATTTCAATTTTAACTTTTTTTAATTGGCTAATCAATCTAAATATTGTTTAAACACTGAATTTTTGAAAAGCGGAAAGATATCCTGTGAAATTGAAAATTTCAACATTTTTGAAGACGAAACATTTGAAAATATATACTACTAATAAAAATTTAATTTATAATAATACGTTGTCTTAACGGTAACGTGCTTGCCTATCACGCCGACGGCCCGGGTTCGATCCCGCCGTCATTCATTTTTTTTTTAAATAATTCCAATTTTTTCGTTCGATAGGTATTCACTGCAATTGAAAAATTCGAAATTTTTGAAAAAGTATCAGGGGAGCATAACAATCGAGGAGTTATTCACTGAAAG